GGACACCGCCACTGAGGCCTCAGATGGAGCTCCCTACGGGCCACGCATCGCTGTGCTGGGTGGGAGAAACGCATGTGAACACCGCCACTGACGCCTTAGGTTGAGCTCCCTATGGGGTACACGATCCCCTCGGCGGCGCCAGCGACGACCCCCTGGCGCGCGTGACGAAAAGAAGGCTTCACGCCCCGCGGCGTCTATTCATCAGCCCCGGGGGGGGTAGCCCTGTGTTACTCACAGGCTGGCATTAAGCACAATTTCTCGGAGGTCCGCTCGGCGCTCGACACCCCCTCCCCTGCACGCGGAACGCGCCAGGCGCATCGGGCGCGCCAGCACCGATCCAAGAGATCTGCACGGAGGTTCGAGGAGAGCATGCAATAGTATGCATGCCGTGCTCTGCGACAACTGGACCTAGGACAAAAGATAATCCTTCAAGAACACGAGACCCTCCGCCGGCCAAACTGGAGCACATTCGAGGGTACCCTCCCCCGGCATGCACCGGGACATCCACCAGACACGGAGAACATCAGGGTACCCTCCGCGAACCGACCTCGATCTTTTACATCGGTCCGACTGCGTTCGAACCCGAGAAAAACATCGCACGCTCCAACTGCATAGGGTCGCGAGGTGCAGATCGGCAGCCAGCCAGCCGGCCGCAGCCGCCGGGTCGCGTCTCCGACGAAACCGCATGCCAGCTTTTCCCACTCCCAAATAAGCCCCAACCAGCCCTCCAGCAATCGAGTTCCCCCCAACGACAAAAAAACATAACACAAAAAACGGAGAAACACAAAAAAATCGCACGTTCCAGCGGCATTTAGGAAACGAAGAACGGTATGAAATGAGTCGTTCCGCCGTCGGGGACGCCTGCCCCCTTGGGCGGCTGCAGAGTTTCTGCTGCAGCGTGGCACCGTTGGGGTATAAACTCTGCAGCTGCCCGGGGAGCTGGCATACCCGACGGCGGAACAGTCCATTGTATACCGTGCTTAGCCCGCTATTGATGAAGGGGCCCTGGGACACACAAATAAATACACACAAATAACAGCATTCCCCATATTGTCCCATATTGTCTGGGTTTTTTGTCCTCCCCTCCACTTCCCATATTTTCCCTATATATTCTGGGGAGTCGACGATAAATTGTGTCGGTGTGTTTCTTTTCCTCCTGAATTGAGCAGGGCCCCACCGCCCCAGCATTCCTAGAGGCCTACCAAAAACAGAAACCGATGTTTTGAAACAAAACAGTATCGGCCAGAGCTGCTCTGAGAACACTTCGCGCAGACCACGGACGGTTCTTAAAACATTCGTTGGTGGGCCTATGGGCAAGCCAAGACGCTTCGCCACTGCTCGACATGGGGCGCAGCAGGGCGCGGATCAGCTGCCGGCCGGCCAGACGCGGCCGCCGGGAGCGCGCCTCCGACGAAGCCGCGCAGCAACCGCGGCAGCGACGCCCCGTCGGGCCACTGGCGCCGCTGCAGGAGGCTGCCAGCTCGCCTGCCGCGGCCAGAGGCTCGCACAGCAGAGGCCACAAAGAAGAACCACCAACGGGGAGCTCCGTTCCTCCTCCCCCTCCTCCCCCTCACCTTCCTCCTCCTCCTCCTCCTCCTCCTCCTCCTCCTCCTCCTCCTCCTCCTCCTCCTCCTCCTCCTCCTCCTCCTCCTAACGGGACTGCGACAGCAGGAGGTTCGCGCGCTACGCCGCTAGCCAAAGTGATGCTCGTGGCCATTCTTCGAGAGGTGGCGGCGGCGGCGGCTGCTCCGACTGTGTCCTTGAAGAATGGCATCGATGATGTTTCACTCCACGCGGTTGGAGGCATGGAAACCGTGTCTAAGCAGCTGCCTCTTGCCTGCAACCGCGTCGTGGAGCGAGCAGGCAGCAGGGATCTGCCCACATCTTGGGACAAGGCTGGGCTCCTCGCCCGCGCTGGCGCGTTGGCGCGCAGCTTGTGTGAGCAGGGGCCCGTGGAGCCGCCGGCCCGATGCCAGTCCCGCCGAGACCTGGGCGGGGACGCCACCGACGGGCGGCACCGCAGAGTGCCCACTCACCTTGACAGGCTCCACCTCTGCACGAGGTCGCGCGTTGAGGCTCGGGCTCCTGCAGAGGGGAGGTGCGAAAGTGTGCCGGGTGCACAGAGCAGGCCCGACATCTGTGGCGCTCTGGGGATCACGCGTGCATGGGGTCGCGGACACTCGCCTGCACCAGCTGCGAGCGATGGCTGCCCATGCGGAGGGACGGCTGCCCCGGGGCGCCTCGACAGCATTTTTGTTTGAGCTGCTCGAGGCGGGGGTGGCGCCGCGACCCGCTTGTCATCGCCACTGTTGATTCTGTACAGCAATATGGAGAGATTCTATGGGATGGCCTCCTCACAGCGGGCGTCCTTGAAACTCTCTTCCGTCACGGAGTTGACCAAGCGGCCAAGCCCAAGCCTCGCCCATGGGTCTCCTGCCGGGATCCTGTTTCTGCCATGCTGATTTCGGCCTCTCGAGTGGGTTGGACTTTTCGGGGGGCCAGGGCTGTGGACGACGGGGGCCGGGAGTGGGATCTCAAGTTTTATTCGCCGGCTTGCTTGGCCGACCAGATTGTTTTTTCAGCGCGGCGGGTGTCCGACGTTCGAGCGCTTCTTTTGCAAGATCGGCACTGCTGGACCGGCCCCGTCTTTTGGTGGCCCGTGCTTGAGAGCATTTTTTGCGATTGGGACCAGGGCTGGGGGAAGCAGCAGAACAACACCCTTCGGGGTCTGGTTGCCGGCTCGCATTGGACGCAGGGCCGCTTGTACGATCATGACGCGACTGTCTCACCGATGTGCCTGCTGTGTGGAGAAGCCCGCGGGTCTCTCCATCATAGGTGCTACCAGTGCCCCGGCTACGAAGCGTGACGGCGGGATAATATATCGGCCGAGTTGGCAAGGGCTGCTGATCGGGTTGGCCTGGCCCCTCCCACTTGGCGGGAGAGATTCGCGAGATGTGTTTTCCCTGATCCAGGTGCCGTGGTGAGTCGTCCAGCCTTTAACCCGACGTGGGCCCTGCGAGGCACAGGAGTTAATCTTCCCATCCGCCTGGACGGCGGGTTTGTGTTCACTGATGGGTCGGGGCTGCACGCGCGGTTCCCCTCTCTCAGAGTTGCCGAATGGGCTTGTGTATTCTTTGGTGCGGGCGGTACCTACCGAGGGGCCATCCATAGTGTGGCACAACCCGAGTTTGCGATAACGAACACTGCCAGGGACGGTGAAGATTACGCAGCATAATGGCTTCGGAACACGTGCTAGGTGAGGTATCGTTGAAGGCCGACTGTAACGCTACCTTGTCGTGCTGCTCTGACGTACGGAAGTCAACCGGCGTCACCAATCCTCGAGCCCACCTGTGGCTCCGCGTGCATGGCCAGGAAGAGTTCCAGCATTTTTCTTTTCAGCATGTCCCTGCGCATTCATTGCTCGATGGTGGACGTGAGGGAAGGAAAGCTGACTGAACTTGACCTGGTCGGCAATGCCCGTGCGGACTCTTTCGTCATCAAAAGGAGGCACCAGTTTCACACAGGCCGAAGAGCGCGATATGCTTCTCCTGGAAGGCTGCCCGGCTCGGGCGACCCAGGCGTGCAAGTTCTCGGCGAGGCTGGCGGCGAAGATGGTCTCGGAAGATGTGTACGACCACCAAGGCTTGGAGGCCATTAAATTATCCCAGTGCGATCCTGCCTAGGACTTGGGGCCCCTAGGAAAGTCGCATTACTGGTAACAGTAAAGCTAAGCTAAAGCAAAGCTAAGGCTAAGCTAAAGCTAAGCAAAAAGCTAAGATAAAGCTAACTTAAAGCTAAGCTAAAGCTAAGATACAGCTAATCTATATATACTATAAGCTAAATATAAGCTAACGCTAAGCTAAAGCTAAACTAAAGCCAAGCTAAAGCTAAGCTAAAGCTAAGCTAAAGCTAAGCTAAAGCTAAAGCTAAGCTAAAGCTAAGATGAAGCTAAGCTAAAGCTAAGCTAAAGCTAAGCTACAACTAAGCTAAAGCTAAGCTAAGGCTAAGCTAACGTTAAGCTAACACTAGGCTAAAGCTAAGCTAAAGCTAAGCTAAAGCTAAGCTGAAGCTAAGATGAAGCTAAGTTAAAGCTAAGCTGAAGCTAAGCTAAAGCTAACGCTAAGCTAATGCTAAGCTAAAGCGCTAAGCTAAAGCAAAAATAAAGCTAAGTTAAAGCTAAGCTAAAGCTAAGCTAAAGCTAAAGCTAAGGTAAAGCTAAGATGAATCTAAGCTAAGCTAAGCTAAAGCTAAGCTACAACTGAGCTAAAGCTAAGCTAAAGCTAAGCTAAAGTTAAGTTTAAACTAAGCTGAAGCTAAGCTAAAGCTAAGCTAAAGCTAAGCTAAAGCTAAAGCTAAAGCTAAAGCTAAAGCTCCCAGGGGACTGGGGGAACCGCGGGGCGGGGACTGGGGGAACCGCCCGGGCCGCTTTACACTGCCCGGCCCCTTTAAGCTACGAGAGTAAGAACCCTTCTAGGCAGAGCCTAGGTAGGGAACTAATAGATCTGACTCCTCACTTGTGTCTGGGGTTTGGGCCCCTGCCTGACCCCGAGGCCACCGAAGCCCCGCCACAGGCCCCTAGTCCTCTCCCCCCTCCTGCTTTGGACTCTCTTCCTGCTGCTGCTGCTGCTGCTGAGGAGGAGGAGAAGGAGGAGAAGCCTGCGGAGGCTTGGGGTGCTGGAGAGGGGCAGGATGAGGCAGGGGAGGACGAGCATTTCGAACTTGGCCCTCGGCGGCCATGGCGAGTGAATGAACATTCGATTCTGGAGGCGGGTGTCCCTGGAGGGGATCCGCTTTTATTTTGTACGACGTGCTACCGGTTCGCAGTCCATCTCCGTCAGAGGGGCCTCTGCAGCCGCTGCGGGGGGACCCGTGAGATCAAGGGCGGCTCAGCTTACACGAGCCGCAAGCGATTGCGAGCTTTTCTGCATCCTTCCGATACGAGCATTTCGCTCGATGAGCCTCGTGTCCCCTCCGCGGCCACCCGAGAGCGGTGGGCATCGCACTTTGGCGTGGCGCTGAACGAGGGTTCGGGCGCCGTTGGAAGGTTGCCCCCATTTTCGAGATCGCCCCAAACCCCCCGCTTGGGGGTCGACTCCATCCTCCTGTGTTTCGGTTTCGAAAGTCGAGCTGAAGCAGAGGAGCTCGGCAGAAGGGCCATGGACGCCCGTGCTGCAGCCCAAGCGCGTCGGGCAGGGCCGGAGCCAGAGCCCGACGATGTCTTTGGCTGAGGGGGGGGGGCCCTGTCGGCGGGCCCTGGCGGGGCTTGTCCCCCCCTGCCTGGGAACGAAAAGATCTCCTTCGATGGGCGCCCCCCCCAGATTTCCCTTTCTCTCTCTCCTCTGACTTCCCTTTACGGGCGCTGAACCTCCCCCTCCTCCTCCTCCTCCTCCTCCTCCTCCGCCTCCTCCGCCTCCTCCGCCTCCGCCTCCGCCTCCGCCTCCGCCTCCGCCTCCTCCTCCTCCTCCTCCTCCTCCTCCTCCTCCTCCTCCTCCTCCTCCTCTCCTCCTCCTCCTCCTCCTCCTCCTCCTCCTCCCCTCCTCCCCTCCTCCTCCTCCTCCTCCTCCTCCTCCTCCTCCTCCTCCTCCTCCTCCTCCTCCTCCCCCCCCTCCTCCTCCTCCTCCTCCTCCTCTCTCCTCCTCCTCCTCATGCTCCTCCTCCCCAACTTCCCCTCCTCCTCATCCTCCTCCTCATCCTCATCATCATCATCATCATCATCATCATCATCATCATCATCATCATCATCATCATCATCATCATCATCATCATCATCATCATCATCATCATCATCATCATAATCCTCATCTCTTTCTTCTTTTTTATGCTTATTAGCATTGGTATTATGATTCGTCGTCGTCTTATCTTTCGTCTCCGTCGTATCATGATCAGCTGTCTTTGCATTACGTATTAGTATTATCATTAGTGTTGTGTTTCTGCTTCCTAGTATTAGAATTATTATCATTCGTCTTAGTCTGGTTCTTAATAATATTCGACTTATTGATAATGATAGTATGTGTAAGTGTGATTGTTAGCAGTGTTCATATTAGCATTAGTAGAATTAGTCTTAGTAGTATTAAAAATATTCGTAGTATCCGTCTTACTCGTCGTATTACGATTATTGTTCATAGTATGCTTCACGGCGAGAGGAAGGGGAGGGGGGACGACGAGGAGGGTACACGCTAGCACGGATCAGGAAAGTACCCCCGGAAACATGCAGCCACTGCAGCCGGAGTCCACACGGGACGCGCCGATGCTCCCGAACATTGAGAGGCGGAGCGCGCCGACTCTGCACGGAAGCGGAACTCGCCGCTGATCCACGCGCCTTGGTCGATGTCGGCGCCCCCTCGAGAGAAGGAGGAGGACGAGGAGGAGGAGGAGGAGGAGGAGGAAGAGGAGAGCCTAGAACTGCGCGGGTTGGCAGCTCTACGAGAGAAGGCATGTTGATTGCATTGTCTTTACTGTCCGCACAGTATACAAGTACGGGCAGACGCCGAAGCTAAACGGCGGCAGAGCATCCTCTGTGAGTCGGGATTGCGCGGGCGATCGAACAGCTCTAGGGCGCGGCCGCTGAAGGCAAACCGCCGAGAATCAACGAATACGTCCGAAGACCTGCTCGAGACGACAACGACGACGACGACGACGAAAGAGGAGACAGAGGGAGGAGGAGGAGGAGGAGGAGGAGGAGGAGGAGGAGGAGGAGGAGGAGGAGGGGGAGGAGGAGGAGGAGGAGGAGCCGCACCCACTTGCGCGGCGGGCCGTCTGTCTCGGCGCGCCGCCCGAGCGCCCGAGCGGCGCGGCGGCCCCCCGCCTCGCCGCCACGGGCGCGGCACGCCCTCGCGGCACGGCGCCGACCGCCGCCGCCGCGCGGGCGGGCACGGGCCTACGGCCTCAGCCGCCAGCCCACCGCGGCGCAGGCGCGGCATGGCGCAGGCCGCCTCCGCGCCGCGCCAGGGGCCGCTCGCCGCCCAGCGCCCTCCCGCTGCCGCCCAGCAGGCCGAACGGCCGCAGCAGTGCCCAGGCTGGGCGGCGAGCCGCCCACGAACTTCATGCCGCCGTCGGCACCTCGTCCGCTGGGGCCTCCGTTAGGCGCGCCTCCAGCTGGACGGGCTCGCCGATGAAGTGGCCCTTGATCGGGTGCTTCCCCGCCTTCATCCTGTTGAGCCTCGTGCCCGCAGTGGCGTTGGCGATCTTGCCCAAGCACTTTGCCGCCAGCAGGACAGCCGCACCTCCGCTCGCCCTTGCACCGCAGGCGCTGCAGAACACCACGTCGCCCATGGTCATCAGTCGGTGCGACGCGTCGGCCGCCAGCACGGCCGCAGGCGTCCCGCGGCACAGCCCCGCCTCCAGCTGGGCGCGGTCCCTGCAGCGGACCCCGCAGCGGTCGCATGCGAAGGGCAGCGCGCTGTCGCCGCCGACCCACTGCGCACGGTGCCGCAGCGGCAGGCCCACCACGCTGCCCTCGTCGTCGGGCATGAAGAGCTGAGGCCCTCGCTCACGCTGGAGCCGTGCCGCCACGCGGCGGCCGATGCCGTCCAGGCTGGCAGTCCTGCCATCGGCCTGGCTGCTGCTCGCCTCCAGCGCTGCTTGCCGAGCCTCGGCCTCGCGGGGCCGCTTGTCACCTCCTCGAGCCAGCGTGCCCTTCGCCGTGTAGAGCTGCCGTCGTCGCGGTGCCGCCTGCCTGCGCGGCTGCACCAGCGGCGCGTCGTCGCTGTCCTCGTCGTCGTGGCAGGCCTGGCTGCTGCAGCCCTGGCCGCTCCGCGGGGTGACCCGCGCTGCCCAGCCGCCCGCCAGGCCTTCGGGGCCACCGCCGCTGGCCTGGCTCGCCGTCCCCTGCTGGGCCCCGCGGGGCGAGGCGGGGTCGGCCTCGCCCCTGCTGACAGCGCTGTCACGCTGGGCCAGGTCCTTGCCGTCGGTCACGCCGTCGGAGCCCCCCGCCAGGCCTGCGCTGCCAGCTGCCGCCGCGAGCGCCGCCGCCGACAGCACCGTGGCCCCGCGCTGAGGCGGCTCGCCTCCGCTGCTGTCGCCGTCCTGGTCGTCGTGCTCCATGCTCAGGCTCGTGTCGACTCTCCTGTCGGGCTCGGGCACTGGCTGCCCGCGCGGCTGGGTGCGGCGGCGCTTGGCGGCACGCACCATGCCGTGCTGCTCCTCGTGCCTCGGGGCCCTCGTCAGCACCTGCTTGCCCGTGGTGCCCCTCTGGCTCCCGTTGGCAAGCACGCACACCTGGGCCACCCAGCCAGCCATGCGGCCCACCGCCCCTTGCTGGGAGCCGAAGCGCTCCTCCTCGGCCCGCGAGCTGCAGGGGTGGCAGGCCGCTCCCAGCTTGGCCTCGGTGTCGGCGGCGTGATTGCCAAGGGCGAGCCGCCGCTCCACCGAGCCGTACGCGAGCTGGGTGATGACCTGGTGGGCCTTGACCTTGCGGAACTGGAGCTGATCCTGCCCGATGTCCATGATTAGACGCCAGATCCTTCTCCACTGCTCGGCGTAGGCCTTGCCAGGCGCGCAGCACACGGCAGGCCCCGCGGCGATGCCGTCGAGCAGGTCCTGGTAGTCGCTGTAGATGGTGAACGGGGGCACGGCGCGCTGCAGCATGACCTCCACTGCGAAGAGCTCGCCCTCTCCCACCTCCTGTAGCCAGCCAGGAGATGGCCCGTGGCAGGATCCCGTGACTCGCCCGAGGTGGTCCACCGATGCGCAGCCGAAGCCCACCCGCATGCCATCAGGGCCTGCGAGGCTACGCCCTGATCCGTCCACGAAGCCGTCGTCCATGAAGAAACCTCCTGGGACCTCCACGCTCCATACCGTGTGCCACGCTCTCGACGGCCTCGGCCCCGCGTTCCAGTTGGGCAGCAGGCACCTGCCCCAGAACGCCTCCTGCATCGCGGTGAGCGTGCCCTCGGGGAAATGGACCTGGCCGATCTCGCTCTCCCTGCGCTCCCGCGTCCACGCCACGCACGCACCGTGGCGGCGCGGGAGCGTGCCAGGGGCCTCTCCGCAGCGCTGGCACAGCGGGGAGTCAGCAAGACCCGCGGCCTGCAGCTGCTGCTGGGGCCACTGTGCTCCGATGACGGTGGAGCGCAGGCCGCGCGCCTCCTGCTGCAGGCCGTGCTTCTCGAGGTTGCGGATGACCCTGCGCACTGGCTCCAGGTGAATGCCATCCTTGAGGTGCTCCAGCCCTTCATGCATACTTATCTGAGTGTACTGCCACCGCTCGATGGCTCTGTCCAGCAAGCCTTTGATCGCCCATGGCCCCACGCCTTCTCCCAGCTCCAGCTCCTCGCCGTCGTGAGAGGTCCACCTGCTGGCCGAGATTACTTGCCAGCCTATCCTCCTTGCCGTGGCTAGCATCGCCCCCGCTGGCCCGACCACGGCGGCCCATGGGTGCAATTTGTTCCGCTGAGTCGCCTCTGCTCGGTCAAGTGCTCCCTGCAGTATGTGGGTGGGGATGCGCTTAGTCCAGACCGCCTTCGCCCACTCAACCAGCGGCGCCGCGTTGACGGCGTAGGCTGGGTCCTGCTTGCCCCCCTCCAACATGAAGGACAGCGTGAGCGAGCGCCTTGCCGTGTCGGTGAACATCGCCGCTCCGACCGCCGCCCTGATCATGTGCAGCTGCGAGTCGCTTCTGCCGAGCACGCTGGCACCGTACGTCATTGCAGGCTGCATGCCCATCCTGCCCACCTTGCCCGACTTTGCGCCCTGGCGTCTGAGGCACGTGACTCGTCCGAGGCGGCGCCTCTGCTTGTCGAAGTTTGCGTCCATGACCTTGGTGCGCCTCCTTGCTCCCGTCATCGAGTCCACGCCCAGGTTGCGGTGGTGCTGCCTGACCTGGAGCCGCTGCGCCGTGTGCGTGTGCACCTTGTCGGCGATCCACTTGCCCGCGTACGCCGTGGAGATCACGATAGTGGACTTCGAGCCGTTGATCTCGAAGCCCAGCTTGCGGAGGAGCTCAATGAGATACTGCAGGCCGTCCGCTGCTACCTTGAGTAGGAACCGCTGTGACCCGACG